GTGGGAGGGGGGGGGCGATGTTTATAATAGTATGTTTTTAACTTTGGGGTTTCCAAAGTAGTGTCCACTTACACATTATATCGTTATTCAAACTCTCAAAGCCCTATTTTCGGGTGTTTTAGGCCAGTGTGGCATCTTTTGTAAAGCTTGAAACGTAAGCCCCAGAGCCCCACATGACAGACGGGGACCCTGAAAAAGCGAGTTACTTTTTATTGAATGAATTTATTGCTGCTGTTGCAAGGGTGAAAGCCGCTCCCCCAAATGCCCCTAAAGTTCACATTTCAGGTTTCCAAGAGATGTTAGTGGGTCAATGCATCTTGTGAATATAGTTAAAGCTTTCTAGTCACATAATCCTCATTTTGGCATTTCAAATTACAGGGATTCCGAATGTGTGCCTCCCTTAAACGGAATCCACGAATGTCAAACAACCAACGTCAAGTTCGAGCAGCAAAGGTTGCCTTTATGTCTTTAGGCCATTCCCAAAGGGAGGGGGGGGGCATTAACATGTTCTTATGCTCAGTAGAATTGTAAATGGGCTGATTCATCAATGTCATGCTCATAAATGTGCATGAACTGCAAACGTGGAACTGCTGCTTTTTCTTTCCTAATCCTTACAATCGTCATTTTTTTTTACTTGTTTTGTATGTTTGTCACTCTCTTGTGAACTGCTATTTCCAGGGTGCCTTGATAGTCGAAGCAGACTTTGTGCGGTTGAAGTTAGAGAGGTGAGCAGAGTAAGCCTGATTCCATGTTTGGACTTCTCTGTTGACATCCACCCCTTGGCGCTCATATGACCTTATGCAGTTGCGAGCGCCGTAAAACCTTACTAAAACAAAAAGCTAGAGCCATGCTAGTAAGGCTTCCTAGAAAAGAAGATGATGAATAAAAAAAAACACTGTCCCCCACCCCAACCTCTTTCCCCAGGCGGTGAAGACGTCCCTTGTGAAGCACAAGTCTCTGGAGTTCAACTGGCGACAGATGTGGGACCACAAGGGAACCACTGACATCCTGTGTCACATGATGCCCTTCATGCTGTACAACATCAAATACTCCTGTGGGCCGGACCCCTACTCCTGCCTCCACTTCGACTTCCGACGCATCGCCGGAGACTATTCCGAGTCCCGCGCCTCGGAGATCACGCGCGGCAACATACGGGAGACGTCTGAGATGCTGTACAAGCAGTTCCGCTCAAAGGCGCATTACTTCCAGCACAACACTATCCTCGTGCCCATCGGCGACGACTTCCGATATGACAGGGAGAAAGAGTGGGACCAGCAGTACGAGAACTATGAGCGCCTCACGCAGTACATCAACGCGCAGAAAGAATGGAACATTCGTGTGCAGTGGGGTACGCTCAAAGATTACTTCCAACTGGTGAGACAGGATCAGGCTGCGTTGAAGATGGAGGATAAAGACGCAGATTTCCCTGTCGTCAGTGGAGATTTTTTCCCTTACTCGGATAAGGATAACGCGTACTGGACGGGCTACTATACGACCCGTCCGTTCGACAAGCGATTCAGTCGTGATTTGCAACACGCGGTGCAAGCGGCGGATACGCTCAACACGCTGACCTACGCCTTCAACAAGAAGTGGGGGCTGCCGACTGGGGACAAGTTCCTGCAACACTCCTCTTTCTTACAGCAGGCGCGGCGGTCACTGGGTCTCTTCCAGCACCACGACGCCATCACAGGCACGGCCAAAGAGTTTGTGGTTCAAGACTACGAGAATTATCTCCTCCGCGCCTACAACCAATCGCAGGACGTGATGCGTATGTCGATACAGACGCTCCTCTCGCAGGGGAAGATCGACTCGCCCGTCGTCTTTAAACCAGAGACAGTGCGTAAGTTGTCCACCGAATCCCCTCACAAACAAATCATCACGGTCCGTGAGGGTGGGACCACGCTCACCTTCTTTAACTCTCTCGGCCAGCCCAGGCAGCAGATGGTTCACGTACTGGTGGACTGTCAGACCGTGGAGGTTCTCTCCGCCTCGCGTCGTCAAGTGGTGCCCAACCAACTCAGCCCCGTGTGGAGTCGTGAGGAGGACGCCCTGGTAGAGGACACGGTCTTTGAGCTGACATTCCTCGCCGACCTGGGTCCTCTCAGCGTGGAGACCTTCATCTTGTACAAGAAACCTGAGCAGCAGAGACCGGAGACTTCCTACTTGGCAGCCATCACAGTGTACAACACTGAAACCCTCGCTGTGCCGCCGTCGCTCAAATTCCACCAAAACCGACCCGAGCCGCGCCGCACTGAACCCATCTTGATCGACAACCAGGTCGTTCAGCTGACCTTTGACCCAGCCACGGGGTCACTGCTCAAGATCACCGACCTGGCCACGAACAACGAGACTGATATCAATCTGAGTTTCGAGTACTACAAAGCCCAGGGGAGCGGGGCATACATTTTCTTTCCAGCGGGCCCATCCATGAGCCTGTTCAGCAACATTCCAGTTTTCCGCGTGGTGCAGGGACCCTTGATGACACGTGTGGAGGTGGGCTTTGAACCATATGTCATTCACCAGATCACGCTGTATTCTCACCCGTCAGTGCAGGCGTCAGCTGTGCACATCGAAAATATTGTCAGCATCCAGACGCTCAAAGACAAAGAGGTCATCATGCGCCTCAGCTCAGACATCGCCAACACTGACAAGTCTTACTTCACCGACCAGAACGGCTTCCAGTTCATTCGGCGCCGGCCTAACCCTAGCTTGAGCGTGGAGGCTAACTACTACCCAATGACTTCAGCCGCCATTTTGGAAGACCGCACCACGAGACTGACCCTACTCTCTGGACAACCACACGGGGTCAGTTTGTTGGAGGAAGGTCAAATAGAGGTCATGTTGGACCGGCAGCTTCTGCACGATGACTCCCGTGGATTGGGCGAGCCCGTACAAGACATCAAAACGACAGTCAGCAGTTTTATTCTCTTGGTCGAGAGACGCAAGCAACCTCTAGCGACGGCCACAAAATCTCACACGACCAGCTTGTCGCTGACGGGTCTGGTGTTGCAAGATATGCTGCTGCAGCCGCCGCTGGGCTACTTCTCCACTGTGGACAGTGACATTTTCTACCGGACGGTCAACCCTGTCGCAACCCCATTGGCCTGTGACGTCAGCGCGGTCAGTCTGAGGAGTTTAGCCAATGGCAACCTACAGTACAACGGCACGAGCGTCATCTTACATCGACGAGGCTACGACTGTGGCTTCCCTTCCCCTTCCCTCCTCTGCTATCCGTCGGACTCTTCTTTGTCATTTAGCGGACTGTTTAGTGAGTTCAGTTTTTCCAACGTCCGGGAGACGTCTTTAACACACACTATTGTCAACAGAGCAGTGAACCCTTCAGAAAAACTAAAGCTGGCCCCGATGGAACTTTATGCCTACCATCTGCAGTTTTAAATATCTTCCATTTCCGCCTGATTTGCATCTTATCTTTTCACTGTTATGAATTGCAAAACCATTTTTCAATTTTGACTTGATGAGCTGATTCCGTATGTGATTGTTTGCGTTTGCTTAGAATGTGTTGATTTTTATTTACTGTGTGCATTTTGCGATTGAATTATATCCATGGTTGATTATTTGGAATGAACATTGATCTTCTAGTGACTGGATGATTTTCTTTTCTTCTGATGACGATGACAAAAAATTTATTCATGTCATGATCTATGGAACTGCATCATGAGCGGCTTGGGGCTCATGCAAAGAGTAAACAAGAACATCACTTTTTCCAGATGTTCCTGGAGTTCCTCAGCTGTTGGACTTTGTTGGGGTTTTGTTTGTTTGTTTTTGTTTTGTTTCGATTTGGGGACAGGGTGGCCAGGGGTTGACAGGACAGTGGGCTTTTGCAGTGTTGTTACAGTATACCACACTTTGTGAATGAGCAGATATTATGTTCTTTTTATTACCTAAGAACGCTCCTCAGTTATTCAATACCAGTTTTTAGTGTGTACAATAAATGTGACGTTGATGTTATGTGCAAAACATTGGGAACAGTGATTGATGTTTGTGTCAGTTCAAAAGACGCTTTCTGTCTAAAAATTGCCCCTTAAAAGAAATTCACATTTTTTCTTAAATGTCAACAAATGCGCTTCCTGCTTAAACACTTGGCGAAAAATGTATTATTATAGTTTTGCGTGTTCTTTGGTGTTTTTGTTTAACTAGTTGATTCCTCCGCGTAGATTTTGCCTTATGTTGGAGGCAACACTCAATTGATCGTTTTTCTTTACTAGCCCTCTGTTCTATCTGAATAGCTAACTATTTTTTTTTTATCGCGCCAGGTAATCCTTATCTTGCTGATGTAAGCATATTATGCAAACCAGTTTCAGACTGCTCACGACGTCAGGTGAGGTATAATGCGGTTGGTATGTAGTCTTCACTTCTGTGGTTAGCCTAAGAGCAAGGGGATATAACCTATTAAAATATGGTACTATTTTGACGTGAACGTTGTCTCTCTTACACTGTCGCATCGGGAGTAGGGTGGGAGGAAGGTTCTCGCGAAAAAGCGGTTAGCATCGAATATTTTGCTCTAACGAACGTTAGACTAGATTGTCAAAGTAACCCCCCCCC